CCGCCCCAAAAAAAAAAAAAAAAGAAAAGAAAAGAAAAGAAATTACAGTCCGGCTGGCTAGCAACAGCTCGTGCTAAAAGTGTTTTTCCTGTACCTGGTGGCCCATATGACAAACAGCCTTTGGGGGTATTATTCCTACACGCTGGAATAATTCTGGGTTTGTAAGAAGTAACTCTATTACCGCTCTTAACTCCCGAATCTGTTCTGAGAGCCCTTCAATCTCAGAATAAGAAATATTCCCAGGGTCCTCATGAGACGTGTTGTGAACCAGTGGGTCCACCTCTCTTGGCAAATATCTCATGATAGTCAGTGTAGTCATATCCAAAGCAACTCTTGCTCCTGGCTTTGGCTTACTTTTGTCAAGTTGTCGACGACAACCCACAACATATCTTGGACCATTTGTAGCTTTAACAATAAATTTTTCTTCAGTTAATTGTTTAAGGACTTCTTCCACAATCTGCCCAACACTTTGTAGGGCCTTCAGATCATTTTCAGACTTTTCATACTGCTTGGTAAGTTCTTTTAATGGTTACCTTAACTCCTTAAGACGGCCATCGATCTCCTTGTGCTCAAGCAGCTTCTTGTGGTAGTCCTGAAGCGCCTTATCTCTAGCGCCCACCATGATGAGAAGCTGTTGCTCATCGGTGGCCACTGTTTTCTAGTCTTCATCATTTACATTGTTTCACTAGGGATTGGATCCATAGAACACCTCACATCACCATCCTGGGTATTATCCCACTCTGTTCATTAAAAAAAATTCTTTGCTCTTCTGGATTTCATTTTTAACTTTCAAAATTTGCTACAGGGTGGGGAACCAGCAGTTAACGTAATGGCTATGTTGCTGGACTCCCACGTAGTCGACCGCGGTTCGTGTCCCGGACCCGGTGGCTTAAAACTCACGCCGGGCGCGTGTGCGTGTGTGCCCAAGATCCCGAGAGGAGAATGGAGGAGAAGGGATTGCGGCGTGACCATCCCCCCTGGGGGGTGATTTCTCGCTTTCTGTCTCTATGTCTCTCTCTGTCTGTCTGGCGAGCACACGCGCCCTACAGTGAAAAATCTCTCAAAAAAAAAAAAAAGAAAATTTGCTACAGGGTGTATGCATTCACCAGAGAAACAAAGGGAGAAAGGGACACAGAGAGAGAAAGTGGGAAAAAGACCGCAGAATGGGATGGCCACTCCATAATTCTCCATTCTCACATACTCAGAGTGATTTTTCAAGCCACTGGGTTGGGGACTCAAACCACAGTTGGTCATGTGGGATCCAGTACATTAGCCACCACATCACTGGCTGCCTCTCTCTGGGTTTCATTTTTTATAGTTCAATTGTGATGTCTTTAAGTTCAGTAATCTTTTTTTGTATGATGTCTAACCTGCTTTTAATAATATTTTGTAAATTTTTCCTCGTGGATATTGTTGTTTTCACCTGTAGAAGCTTGAATTTGGTCTTTTTGATCTCTTCACTGTTTCTACTTAATTTTTTAAAAATAATTTTTTATTTATTATACTTTTATTTATTATTATTATTATTTAATTCGATATAGGTCTCATGCACTCACCAGAGAGAGAAAGAGAAAGCCACCAGGTCTAGCACCTTAACCATCATGCTGCCTGCTGTCCCCCAACTTTTTAAACATATATACTAATTATGTTAGTCTCCTTGTCTTCTGTTTCTACTATCCATGTCAGTTTTGCATGAGTTTTTTTTTTTTGTTTTGTTTTGTTTTTGAGAGGTTTTTGCTATAGGGCACATGCACTTGCCAGAGAGACAGAGAGAGAGACAGAAAGACAGAAAGCGAGAAATAACCCCCCAGGGGGGATGGTCACACCACAATCCCTTCTCCTCTCGGGCGCGCACACATGCCTGGCGTGATTTTAAGCCACCGGGTTCGGGACTTGAACTGCAGTTGACGACATGGGAGTCCAGTGACATAGCCATTACACCAACTGGTCCAAGTTGCTGGTCCCAAGTTCTGCATTAGTTTTAATTGACTTTTCTTCTCACTAAAGATTGTATTCACCTGGTTCTTTATTTAGCGAGTAATTTTTGATTTGATGCCAGACTTTACTCATTTTACCTGGTTGGGAGTTGGACATTTTTGTATTCATATACATATTTTTGAGCTTTGTTCTGGAACACAGCCAAGTTACTTGGAAACAAGTTGATCCTTTTGGGTCTTGTATGTGATTAATTTGGCAAGACCAGATTCATGTTTAGTCTAATGAGTTCTTTAACCATGTGCCCTCCCTGCCCAGTGTTCGTGAATTGCAGAGCTGTCTGGCCCGGCTGGGGAACTGGCACTATTCCAGATCCCGAGTGCACACTATTCATCTCTGATTGGCTCAAGTGCTTCTCTCACAGTCTCTGACGATTTTCTCACGTGAATGTGTTGGTCAGTAGGTACTCTGATGAACATTTTTCTGGGGGGAGGGGGGCTCCTCTACATACGACCAGAGTTCT